AGGCTCGATCAGCCTGCAGACAGGACTGGGCCGGCGCGGCGACCCGCACCTCCGCGCCCGGCGATCGGACCCAGAGCGGCCGCCGGATGCAGCCTCCTCGCCTGATACACAGTCCAGCTGCATGAGGGGACAGGACCGCTTCAAAACATATTACCTGTCTCTAAAGCTATTAAATTTGGAACGGCACAATCTCCCCTATCCAGAGGATATCTTCACTCGCCTAGAGTAAATCTTTCTTATCCAAAGAAACCTTACTCATCAAAAGAGCATCCTGATTCACCTGCCATCTTGCTGAGAGGACCTCCTTTACCAAGAGGTCATCTCACTTCACCCAAGGCACATCTCACTTCGCCCGCTGTCCGTCTCCGCTGCCCCGGGGCCGTGAGAGTCCGCTGGCGACTAATCGGCGCCGCGTGTCGCGACTCGGCCGTCCTCACATTCCAGTTGGCTAACGATCCTGTTGACGGCCGGTGCCCGGTTGTTTTCGTTTGTGTTGCCCGTTGGGACGGCCCGCGACATGTCGCTGAGGACCGGTATCGGCCGCGGATCGGTCGACGGGGCCGCTCGGGGTATAGGGGGATGTGGACTCGGGGATTAGACGTTTGAATGCTCGAGATCGGAGCTGCTGGCGGATCTCACCGGCCCACTCACATGCAGGGCCAATTGTCTATAGTCCAGCAGCTGCCAACAGCTCCAGGACTGTTTTCCAACGTCCACAGTCTACCTCTACCGCCTCCTAAGTCCTAGCGTCCACCGTTCATCGTCCAGCCCACGTCCACCGTCCACCGTCCACCGCCCACCGCCCGCCATTCACAGTCCAGCGATGCAGCCAGTCAGGCGACCGGCCAACACGCGCGATGACAATGACAAATACAACGGGCCGGACAACAAAGGCGCTGACAAAGCCGACAATGGCGCACGTTTACGGCTCAATTTCAAGGGCATTTGTATTCATTTGGCGCCGGCTGACACGGGTAATGCCTTCCCGGACAGGTATGTAAACAGACGTGGACACCGAATTTGCCGCTCACTGGGCGGCCATCAACACAATGAAAATGGCACACATTGAGCGCTTAGTTACACCACGACTAATGTACAGGATTATCCCGACGTTCTCCCGGCACACGAGGCTCTACCTCCCCTGCCTCTGCGCAGCCCTGGGTGGTACGACGAGGGGCCGACTCAGTACAAACAGGACGGTCATGCCCGGACTGCGCCCGGCCGCGCCTCGAGGCACGGCCTCCCAGCCGTGTGTTGACCCGGTGCAAACACCGACGGCCGCCCTCGCCGCGCCGTGTTGACCGCCGCAGGGCCTCCGAGACGGCACGACGCACGGTGACCTGCGCGTGTGCGGCGCACGCAGACGCGTATGTGTGCGTGTGGACACAGCTTGTGTATCCGGTGTACACCTGAACGGTTTACCGAAACGCAAAATGTTAATGAGACATTAATCTCACGGGAAAAGGAGGGTTTGCGAAGTCAATGACCGTGAGCGGTCCCCTTGTCAAAAGTTCTTATAACATTTACCAACAAACGGCAGTATCTCTACTGCTAAATGACGCGCTGCCAAACATTGAAAACCATTCCAAATTGTGTGGATTAGAGACCTCTGTCTACTGCAGAGCGCTATTTCTGGCTCCCGTCCCCACCAATCTCTCCCTGTTTCCGGTGCTCTCTCCACAGACGTTGTCTGCTTCCGGCAGCGCGCTCCAGAGCCGCCGTCTCTCGGCGTCGGTTTGTATGTGTGTGTGCGTGACGGATCGGCCGCCGCGGCCGGTCGGCGCCGGACAATGCACGCTCTGTGGGCCGGCGGCGGTGGCGGCGCACAGGCGCGCCACGTCTGTCGACGGCGGCGCGGCGCACGCTCCGCCGCCGCCTCTGAACAGCGCCTAACGACGCGGTCACACCCAACAAAGACAGGTGGGTACGCACGTCACACAGGGACCAGCCGGGAGCGGACGGACCTCTGCAGCGCCGCCGGAGGCTGACGACCGCGCGGGGACGCGCTGAGGAGCTACACACCTGAACCGCACGGCGTCACATGTGTGAGAGGCGGGAGCAGCTCACAGGGACGTTACGAACGCCAGTTTCCGCGGACAGCGTGGGGGACACCTCTGAGAGACGGAACGGAACTGATCATATCGGACCACGAGACGTGAATATGCTCCCAAGAAAGGTGTGATCGCCATATTTTACGTGTAGGTAATGCCTTTGATAGCTATCATAAACACAAAACATCAAACGTGAGTAATGCAATGCTGCTTTTGTGATCAGACTTCTACATCTGGCTTATATTGAGCTGTATTTCAGCCAATATCTCTGATTCTAGCCTATGACGTCAGTATGCTTTTAGCTGTCGATTTTCTCTCGTTTGGCCGCCTATCTGCTGTCGTGTGTCTGATCAGGGCTCCTCTATATGCGGAGTAGCGGCGCTGGCCCAGCCACGGGGCGCCTCCTCACGGGCCAATACCGGCGGCGATCGATATCAGTCCTCTCCCCATACGGAGGACGGCCGTCAGTCAACGTTTCCGACCAGCCTTCACGAGGCAGAATGGCACTGATGTGTTCGACGGAACTTCTCGGAATCAAATGGGCTTCGCGGTAAAATACCAATGTAGGAGCTAAGTGATTTGAATGTCAGCCCGGCGACATTATGTTCCTCGTGGCATTGATCAAAGGAATTCAGAAATATGCATTCAGAAATAAATACACGAAATGATAATTGGGTTACATTCCCGCTAATTACGCACCTGCTCCAGCCGTGTGGCGGGAGGCAGCTGAGGTAGGCCACCCCAGATTTTCCCGTACACAAGCCCTGGTTTCGACACAGTCCAAACAGGAACACAGCGGTAATCACTAATTCACGCTGCACAACACCGTGCGTCCCTGCTTTCATCAGCATTAACACGACTTTATGGGATTTCGAAACGTATCATTGTCTCATCATATCTCAGCAGAAACGTAACTTGCGGAAGACTTTATGTCAACAAGAGTCTTAGTAATACTCTGGTGAGCGCAGACTGGTGGTGGCTAATCCGCACTGGCCAGCGATTTTCTGCCGTTAAAAATCGTCACCTCGCTGCTTAGCATTCGCATTCCTACGACCTTCCTTTAACCAGACACAAATAAATTAGCTCCCCGATGTTAAGCGGCAAATGATGGCGTTGAGTTGCATTTCGTGACCGAGCTGCTCAGCGCCGGCTGTGCGGCCATACGTCATCCTGACGTCACCGCCGCCCAGCCGCCCATCCTTCCCGACCTCCGCGGCGGGCCGGCCGCCCCAGAATCCCACCGCGTGACGTCACTGCAGCGCGCCGGCCGTGATCCCTCAGCGGACGACCTTCCGACGGGACAGAGGAGGACCGCGGCCGATCGCCCACAAAGCGGCACAATCAGCTCGCTCTGTACGGCGCGCCTGCTATGCCAATAATTCAGCGGACCGATTCAGTGTCTGACGGCGCTGCGAATCGCCGTCTGCCGCTGACGGCTGCGGCCGTGGGACGGTCACGGTTCACAGACGGCGCGCGTGCACGCTGCAGCTCAGCCGTAGCGCGCATCGCACCCGCCGGCGCTCGGCTAAACGGGCTACAAATGCGCACACAACGGCCGCCGATACCCCCTGCCGGGCGCGGCGGGCGGCGCCGGCCGATTTTATAGACGCCGATAGCCAGACGATACCGGCGTGCAAGTCACTCGGCCGGCCGGCCAGCAAACAGCGGCGGCCCGGCTCTGCAGCGGTTTTATGCCACTTTGACAGGGTCTTTATCGGTGATCGGGCCAATCACAGCCCACCGGGGGTCCCGAGCGGACTGAGTGCCTCCGACAGCGCCCCGCGCGGCCGACAGCGAGCCGTACCGACCGGGCCGGCGCCGCTCCCCGGCCGGCGTCACACGAGCGTGCAGCGCCGCGCCAATTATCTCCGTCATCGCAGAGATGATAACGGCCAGCGGGGCCGGCCGATTGAAACATTCGTCATCGCCCGGCACGCCGCCGTTCGGCCCGTCCGGAGCCTATACCGCGGCGGAGGCGCGGCCGGGCGGCCGGCTGGTGTTACCTTCCACTGCCCGACTGCAGTCTCCGATAGTGTTATGTTCGCCGAGTGCAGTCTCCGGCGGGCGGCCGGCCGGTCGGCGCGGCGCGGGGCCTCGCCGGGCGGGGTTCGCGTGCTCTGACCACCGCTCGGCTCTCACCGTCCGTCTGCGGGCTCCACCCATCTCCAGATAGGCGATCGGCGTGCGCGAGCCCAAGACACCAAGGGCAATTCGGCACGTGGCCTGGCGGATAAAAAACGCTCGCTTGTTGGCGGTTCGTGCCGATTGGACGCGGCGGCGGGCCTCGTCACCGACCACCCCCGCGGAACGTCACGAGCCGCGCACGGCCGCGCCGGTCGCCGGGAGGTCACGATGACGGGGCAGCCGAGCTGCTCGCCGTCCGGCCGTGTTTACGCCGTCCCCGAGCCAGCAAACACACGGCCGCCGACTCTCTTTTCTCCGCGCTCTGCCGTCGGCGGCGCAGCGCGGCCGCCATTACCGCCGCGCCGCCAGATGAGAGTGGCGTGATTTCCAGACTATAATTTCCTGGGACGGCGGAGCGGCCGGCCGGCGGCGGCGGACGGTGCTGCACCGGGCCCTCGCTGGCCGGCCGGCCGCCCAGCCACGCCAATAAAACCATCTGTCCGGCATGCGGCCGGAGTCCGGACGGCGCGGCGCGCTGCGCCCGGAGCCGGCAGCGCCGGGTCAGCGGGTCAGCTCGCCGATCAGCCGGGTCAGCTCGCCGATCAGCGGTGCCGACTCACACCGGACCGCGGAGCGAGCAGGCCGCCGATTAGCCGATTTCCATACAATGCGGGCCGCGCCGGCCGCGTCTGCATGCCAACTGCGTAACAACATTATTACTGAGTCGATCAATCAGCAACACAAAGCCGGCCGAAGGCTGTCCCCATACCGCTTACACCGACAAACGAGATCGCGGCGGAACGCAGCTGTCGCGCTGGTACTTACTCTTGTACTGTCATCGACGCCTCGCTGCGCGCGTCCAATCCGCGCAGCGTCTGGATCTTGGTGCGCTTCCCATAGAGTTGTTTGTAGTATTTGTACTGGTCGCCATACACAAAGCACACTTTCCACCACTGGCGGCACATGAGCCGGTTGCCGTCTTTCGGCGACGGTTTGGCCGCCATCGCGACGCCTGGGAACACTCCGGCTGCAGCCTGGAAAAAGTCGGCGTGGCGTTCCATCAAACTGCCGGGGGACGGGAGTGGCGGCGGCCTGCTGAGGTGACAGACCCGGGTGGGTGTCTCCGGCGGCCGCCACCACACCTATCACTCCATCGGAGCTGGCCGGCGCCGCGGCCGACACACGGAGATGTCCTGCCGTCAGCCGCTACACGGCTGCACAACCCAGCTGAATTATTTGTGAGCTCGCCGGCGCGCAGATCGGTGTAAATCTGGCTGTGCCAGACGACACATACAGGCCGAAAGTACAACATTCCACCGGCGTGATATCACAGCAGCTCTGAGCGGGCTCCTGCGCCCTGCCGTGGCAGCACGGACTGAGTCCACGCGTCAGGGGCGTTCCTTTGGTAATGGAGCAGGCAGACGGCGCTCGCACACACGGTAAATATGTTGTTCCGCTCAGCAGAACAAACCGGCAACAGACGGGATTATTTGTACCGAGAAGAGGGTAGCTGAAAGCCGGCCACCCAGTGATAGATGGCGGCGTAAATTTCTGTCCAACAAACAGCTCCATCATGAAGCAGGTGCCGGCTGACGCACACACAGCGTACGGCATACGGAACTGAAGGACGACGCGCGGCGCGCGGCGCTTTTCATGAACTGGGAAACGGTTTGTTCGGGTCAAAATAAATCGCCAGTCATGGAACGGCTGTGGCAGAAAACGGCGGCAGAAGCTGGGCTTCTGAATGGACCGTAATTAATACATTTATCAAAGCGACCACCGTGTCCATTGGCATGGCATCGCGTGGATGGTCTTGTAATTTGGTGGCTTTGGATAGAACGGAAGGAGATTTTAGCGAAAATGTTGCCCTTAAACGTAGGTACTTTTAACTCCAGTCAACTGTCTGCCAAAATATAGAACCATGAACCTCTGTATAGCTCGTTATAGAGGTCTATGATAGACTGAAAGCATCACGCCGGTGGTAAATTTCAATCAAAAGCCAAAGTAGCATATCCACGGAATTTATAAAAATTTTACATTTCTAAGGAAGAAGAGCTAATGACTACTGACCTCGGTCTCTGACACAGGTCCACCAATCACTCCCACTGGGTTCCGCGCACCTGCGGGTGCCACAGCACGTCTCTCGCACACGCCGCGCGCCGGCCGGCGGCACCACGCTCCGTGTCTCGCCACGTTCGGCTCGGTACTGGAGGCCAGGCGGCGGCGCAGCGCCCGCCAGGCCGGTCCACCGGCGGCGCGCGGGGCAGGCCTTCGCCGCCGCCGTCCGCCGCTCCGGGCAGCCGGCTCACACTGCCGCCAGCAGATGGTCCCGAGATGTTCCTTCACGGACAATCAGGCCGGCAGACGGCCCTGATTGGATTATCACGGCGTTTCTTGCGATCAGACTGCTTTCTATGTCGATAAGACCGTGAAGGTCCCGGGCGAGGAGCTGGACGTAATCGTGAGCTATTGTTTGGCCAGAGGGACCGTCGCTCGGCGTCCGAGGCCCGCATGCGACCCGGCTAATGAGCAGGAAGTGCAGCCGATGGCGCGGACCGTGCCTCGGATCGGTCACAGACTGATGTGCGCTCTCTCATACCGTCGGAATATTCAGCGGCAGAGCCGTCCGGCTTCCATCATCATCCATAACTTCTGTGGAGGAGGTGGGACGCCATCGCGATGATGGGTCTATCGGAACCCACTCTATCCGTATTCTAAAACATGCGTATTGATGCCGTAGTTCCATCGTAGCAAACTGCTTCCGTAGTAGATCGCAATAGACTCTTCAGGCAAGGTTAGTCACCCCGGCAGCCGGCAGCAAGCACCTCCACCCTCGCTGCAGTCTTACCCAGAACGGCAATTACCAAATCCCGCCGCCTCCCCGGCTGCACGCTCTGAAACTCATCATCATCAGCGGGAGGGCTCGGACCGGCGCGGGCAACATTACGTCGGTATGACCCGCCGAGTCTAGCTGCGTTTGTCAGTTTCATTGCCGCGGGTTGGAGGCAGCGCACACTCACCCCACACTCTCGCCACACCACCCACTCACCATACGTCTGACCGCGGACGCCGAGGTGCGCCGCTGAGCAGAGATGGACTCTGTCAGTGTGACACAGATAAAGGTCTCCCAGGACAGCCGTCAGCGTCACGAAGATGAAAACTCGACGACCAAAGCTCAGTGATGAGCTGCAGGAATCAAGACATAAGTTTTACAGCAAATTGAATGTAACCCAGAGACAAAAGTGGCTTATCGAAAGCATCCTGTCCTTGGGTGTTGTGAGCTCAAAATCGCAAACACATTTCTACTTATTGGGTATTTTTCGCAAACTAATCCAACTGGTTCAGAAAGTAAACAAGGAGCATACTCTGCTAACTTTTCCGTTTCACAGGTCTTTGTCTAATTTATCGCAGCCGACCAGGAGCAGACGGTTGCCAGCTGGCGGTCACGATCATTTTGGGGCGGCGGCAGCTTGCTGGAGGGGCAGGGTTTGGCCGCCAGACAGGAGCGCAGTGGCAGGGCTGACCAGGTGGTGGTGCGAGGTCGCCCCGGGGCTCGTATCGCCGGACCTCTGGGACAGCTGGCAGTCGGGGCAGGGACTAGGAAGGAGAAGCGCCGCACACCGCAACATGTGGGTTAGACGGAAATAATCGCAGATAACAGACGCGACACGCAACGAAAACTGTACAAAGAAAGTGGTTTGCCGTGCCCCTGAATTGCGGCTGGTTGTGCAACCCGGATAAATGAATGGAGGCACTCCTTAGGTGTGTTTTACATACGCCCTGTTCAACAAAACCATCCATAAAGGCTGGGGGCCGGCTGCCAGTTCATTCATTCAGCGATTGAGCGGAAGTCGACACGCATCACGCGAGCAAGCATTAACCACGTGACGGACCATTCCAACAAAACCTATAGATCCTAACCATGACAGAAAATGCAGCCTTTTAAGATCCAGACACGCAACGCTTTGTTCACTAGCCTTGACCAGGTAAGACAGTCTCAGCCATGAATGAAGCGACGCACTATAAAGTCGAGGGTTCAGCCGTCACCATTGCCTCCTGCCAGCTCAGACCACGAGTGTGAGAGGCGAGTTCGCCGCCTCCTTCGAGGAGCCGTGGGAGGGGAGCACGTTCAGGAACTCCCTGCGGGGGAGACCATTTTACATGAGACGAGCAGATCAGTTACTCTGATGGCGGTAAACATGAGTGAAACACGCAGCAGTTCAGCTAGGCCGCCGTGTGTGGCATCCTCAAGTGGTCCCGTGGGTAGCTTGAACGTTCCCATGGTGCACTCGGTATGGTGTGCAGGCTGGGCCAGGTGGGCTCGGTACACGGTCGTTCTGACGTAACTCGGGCGTTCGGACCCGTTTCGGGGCCGTCCCGGCTATTTCAGTATGTGTGAGCTCAGGCGCGTGGGCTGCCCACACCCCCACCGCTCGGCTGAGGTGCGGCGCCGATCTGCGCGCGGGGGAGGGGCGGCGGCGACCGCCCGCCGGCGCACGTATCGCGTTCGACGCTGTCACACCGGAGACGGATGGTGGCCCCTCTCACGTTGTCGTGGTGACATCTCGACAGTCTGTGCCAATGACGGACGAGCGCCGGCCGCCCATACATCTGCATCTGCTCAGCACTCCGGGGCCGGAGCCGGAGAGGACGAGCGTGAGGGGACAATTAGCCGGGCGACCACACCTGCCGCGGACCAAACAACGGGCCGCAGCCACGGACAGACGGGGCTGCGTGTCACACGGGCACAGCCACGGACTGAGCCCGCACTACAGCTACAAACAGGAAAGAGCGGCCACGACGTCTTAGAGGAGTTTTCCAGCCGTCCAGTAAATACTTCATAGGTTTAGGGGATTTCGTTTCGGGGCACGTGTCGGAACAGAGAAAAGATATAATTCCTAAGTCCTGCTGATACGTTATCAGTAGGACAATTTGTCGCCAAATGACTAAAAGAACTTCGAGACTATCTGCCCAAAACGAAACGGATTTAGCGACAGGGCATACGGCGGTATGCCATTCAACTGGAAAGGCCGGTATACGCTGGAAGCGTTTAAGCAGAAGTTACACCGCTCTTTAGCAGGCTGACCTTATAGGGGATCAGTGGGTACCGCGCTCGGCCTGACGGACGTCACACTTCAAAGGCGCAGGGCTAGACGTTAAGAGCAATGGTCGGCACTAATCTCGAATAGTAATGCACGCTGAAACCCTAAATGGCTAGACCGATTTACTCCGGTTTGGACTTCAAAGGCTTAGCTGGAGAACGGCTAAAGCCAAAGCCGTAAGCACGACAAATGCATTCAGAATATTCACTTTCAAATAGGGTCAGCCCCTTCCAGAGATCTCTCCTTTACATCAAAAGTAACCCAACACTGTAAAGATACGTTCGATAGAGGATGTCACTGGAGCATAATTAGCGACTCTATGTTGTTACTTCATGCCATACAAGTGGTGATACATGGTGGCACATTATCGCTTCACGTGAAAATTACAGAATTTGCAAAACACGTTTGAGCTTCCAGGGCCGCAGGCAAACCTGACACCCGTCTGCCGACCAAGAGACAAGGCGTTGAAAAATAATCGCCACAGAAGGGACGGAGGTCGGGCTGTCCAAGGATTGATAGTCATGGATAAACCGTCAGCAAAGTTAAGCTGACATATCTGACCGGCACGTCCCTCCGTTCCCCAAAGACAAACAATGGGACGTCGGCACGATGTTTATCGTTCAATGCCAGCGGTGAGGGAGATGGAGACACTCGATAAGACGCCGCACAGCCCGCTGGTAGCCGCCTAGACTCGTCAGCAGCAGCAGTCTTTTACCTTTTGACACATACACGGATGTGTTACAACGACTCACGTTAATAGGTTTTTGGAATCATAGCGGCCGCCATACGGCAGATTTCGGCGCCGATATTTCCTAACCGTATTGCATGTCCTGAACCTGAACGAGGTCTGTTGGTCGTAATGGCTCGTGCCCGATGTACTGAGCGTCCGCAATCCCGGCCGGGCAATATAGCGCCGGTGGAAATCCGCCGGCGAGGCCGCGCGATGTCCGGAAATGAGGCGACAGACTGCGGACTCGCGGAGCGCCGGCCGACGGATATTGCAGCCGACCCAGCGGCCATTCGCTGTCAACTGACCGTCCGACCGCCGTCCGGCCGCCGACAGCCCGCCGACTCCACCGTCTGACCGAGTGACATTCGCGCCGTTTTCCGGTCTCGTTCGAGCGGCGCTCGAGCTGCGAGTGGCCACCGGCTGAGAGTTCTGTCTGACAGTGGGGGCGGGAGAAGCCTCCATCTCCCCTGATCCCGAGACGAGACGAGCCGTCAGAGTGAGACTGCTATCGGTAACGGGACCGATCAGCCTCCGGCCCCGGGCGTCGGAACGGAACGCGCGCGCGAGCACACATATTCCGTATGCATTAATCTGCCTCTTATGCATATGCAGAGTGACATTTAAATATCGGCCGCGGCAGTGGTGTCGGTCGTGGTGGCGGAGCGGCACTCAGCGAGGGCTGGGTCGGGTCGGCCAGTCGGTCGGAAAGGGTCGGCGCGGCGGGGTCAGTGGTCACAGATCTCTCCCCCGCCTGTGACCGCTCTGAGGGCAGCGCCTGTATAAGACCAGCCGCGGGCCAGACTGGGAGGCTGAACGGACAGGAAGCGGGTGGTTATCCCTGGTTATACATGGCCAAGCCCCAGGGCAGGCAGATGCTCGCTGGAAGCTGAAGAAGTGGCCGGTGCAGGGTCGCGCAGCTGTTACCGGCCGAGCCGCCACGCTACCCACACCGCCGCCGCAGTCAAATTAACTGGGGCTTTCATGGCGTGTAATCGTGACAGCCCACACTGCTCGGTCGGAGACTGGGCCCGTTTCGGCGTTCACATTTAATTGGGACTCCGCCCAGCGAGAGGAGCGGTCGACCGCCCCACGTCCGCCGGCCGCGCCCGTCCGCCCTGTCCCCGACCCAGCCGACCGGTGTTATTCCCTCTCCGTCTCAGAGCGGCGCTAATCAGAGCTGAATCGGTGCCGCGCACGCCTTCCAGTTCCATTCTAATTGAGGACTCGCTATGGAACGCGCTCAGATATTGACATGTTTGTTATTGGTCACGCATGATCTACCTTGACACAGCGGCCCCAGGGAGGTGTCGCCTGGGTCCCGGCGGGGCGGGGGCGGGGGCGGGGGGCGGGGGCGG